GAGGTTTTTGTCATTAAACCTTTCATTTTTTTTTTTTTTTCCTTTTAGGAAGCCAGTTTGAATTTCTATAATCTTTTAATAATAAAGTGAACAGTCAAACAGGATTTCCCATTCAATATCTGGCCCCTGTTCATTGAAAGCATAAATACCAAAATTCTGACACTCAGAGTCTGCTATTTGTACCACTGAGATCTCCCTCAACATAGCCACAGGGTCATATTTGTTAAAACTTAAAAAAAAAAAAAAAAAAAAACCAGTTAAAAATGCTTTAGTCCTTGGAGTAAGATGTTGCATATTTTGCCTTTCATTTTCCCCCTTCGACGGTAACGCTTAGGCCCCTCACCAAACTCTCAGTAACCATGGTAACTGTATACAAACCCATGCTGGCGATGGTGGTGAATGGTAAGTGGTGAAGTCCATCTGCCGTTTCACGTATTTAGTGCTGATATATCTATATACATATATATATATACCACGTGAATTTTTTTGACTTGTTGTATTAAGTTTTCTTGATGCTCTATTTTTTTGGATATTGGTACGCCTGTAATTGAGTGTACGTTCTAAGCTAGCCTGGGAGGCACTGACTGGATTGAGTTATGACCGGTGCACATCTTACTCAGATTGTTAACTCCATATTGTGTTAAACAATGCACCCTCTCTTTTATCCTTTTGTTAGCTGTGACTTTAAAGCTTGAATGATTTTGTTAATTCTTGCGATGTAAAAGGCTCTTGTTCCAAGTGTTGAATGCTAGATGTTGCTTTCCCAATGGTTCTTTCCTCCTAAAGTGTTGCACACGGCTAAAACTTGTTTGTCCCTTTTTTTGACATTTATGTTCCCTTGTACCTTGTCTCTTCCCTCTTCTCCTCCACTGCATGTTCCTTCATATGAACTTTATTTTATGTTTAAAAAAATATTTATCGTTTCTGTGTTACCATGGAGTACACGCATGCTTTTAAATCTTCAATTATGCAGTATCTTTTAATTTGCTTTTACTGTCTCTTTATTAAACTTTTAATGATATGACATTGCTTTACTGAAATGATTTGTAAGTTAAAATGGTTATGAAGTAAATGTAATTTTTTAAACGTATGATTTTGTTATGCACCTACTGCCTTTTATAAATTAAAATGCATTTTAGTTTTTTTTTCTTTAAATAAGTAATCACAGTCATAATGCATGCAACTAATTGAATTGTGAGCTGGCTCTAGAATGTGCGCTCATTGGCGTTTTCTATGTACATAGGTAAATAATGCCACGGCACGTGTAATGACAAATAAAAAGACTGTCAACCCTTACACAAATGGTAAGTAGAGATCGGTCCTTTATAAGAAATCTTCTCTACCTCGGACTCTATTAAGTAATTTGACAAGGGAATCTGTTTCAATAAGCCATATTGGCCAAAGTCCTTGCTGCTGACCTGCTACAGGGAACCACCTACATCCATGAGGTCATTTTCACAACAAAGGCAAATTTCACTTTCAGGTCATAAGTACATGACCTCCTTCCCATCTCTCCAGGATAACTCCCATTCGGGATTGAGATATAGTAATTATTTGGGAATTAGTTGAGTAATTTAATTTGTTGTTTTATGGTAAGTATAGAGGATGGAGGTTTTGTTTTTCCACTACCATCTCCTCACTGATCACTAATTTCTAGAAATGTAACCACATAATTTAGTTCTGACTTTGAGTCTTCTCCGGACAGATTAGACATTTGAAGTGGCTTGGAGGGCACTTCACAACAGGGTTCTACGGGATTAGTAGAATGTGTGGGTGGATTACCTGTTCCTCTGTGGGTCGCTTAATGTCATTTTGGGCCAGGTGAGAATGTGGCTGTGTATTGCAGACCCCATCAGGACAATGTATTTCTGCCCTTGCTAGCCAATAAAACTTCTCAAAACGCCTCCTAAAAAGAATTGACATATATATGAAGAGTTATTAAAAGTGTTCAAACATTTTTATTCTTTAATCCTTCTCAAAAGAAATATCTCTTAAGATATATGGGGGAGAAATCTGCTGCTATGCTAATCACATACTTAACGGTACCAAAAATTAAAAAGAAAGTAATGCAGTAAGTTGCAGTATGTACACTTAGTAATATATTATACTCATTAAAATGAGTAGGATAAAGACTGTGAAGGGCCCCCTAATAAATTAAAAAAGTAAATAATAAGAAAGTACATGTGTAGCATGATTTTAACTAAATGATGGTAGTAACTGTGCCAAAACACTAATGGTTGTGTTGAATTGCAAGACTGGAAGATATTTTTTCTTTGACTTACAGATTTTTTTAAATAATGTAATTTTACTACCACCAAAAGGAAATACATATGGAATTTTCCACTTTTTAAGTTTTAATTACGCATGAAACATGAAAATATAGTTTTATTTACAAAAAAAAGATTTTTTAGAAAAATTAACAATTAATACCAATTTGACGTGGTACTTGTTTTTCCATTCTTGGAATACTTCACTTGGTAGAATGGGCTCCAGCTCTATGCAAGATAATGCAAGAGATGCCAGATCACCCTTGTGTTTTGTGCACATGTAGTAGTAACATTCATTGGGTGTCCAGTAGGTGGGAGGGGGGAGGAGGGGATGGATATATTCACACCTAATGGGTACAGGGCCCATCATCTGGGGGCTGGACATGCTTGAAGCTCTGACTCCAGCAGGACAAAGGCAATATACATAACCTAAACATTTGTACCCATGTAATATGCTGGAATAAAAAAATATTAAGAACAAGGAAAAATATATCTTGAACAACACCACTGCCAACCTGATTTCCTACCTCCCCCTCAGAGGAAGCCACCATTATAGATTGTCGTCTGTAGTTTTAATTTGCATTTTCATTTACATGTAGTAGGTATGTCTTTATACTATTCACAGTGTTGTGTACATGTTTTTATATAAATAGTATCATGATGCACATGTCATTTTTAATTGTCTTTTATAAATCAATATAGAATTATTTCAATGTTAATACATACAAATCAGACTAATTCTCTTTAGTGGTTACATAATATTCCATAAAATGGATCTATGGGTTTATTCAGAGCTTGAATACTAATTGTTCTG